TGCGAAGAGATTCAACAAAGCAGATGACGCCCGCACTGCAGAGGGCAGCGCACTGGACCCAGCACCAGCCCCAAGTGCTCCCACATCCAACTCGAGCCAATCTGAGGACAGCTCATGAAGGGAAAAGAAATGCAGAGCCGAAGCAAGCAGGCCACGAGTTCTCAAATCTTCCGCAACCAAGGAAGTCGAGAGGGAAGGAACCTGCACATGAAGCTGCATGACACCAGCATCCCGCGGAAGGGCAGGGGCGAACAAACAAGCATCAAGATGCTCAAAGTCGCCCCCCAGGAAAACCTGCAATGCCGTAGAAACCTCTCGCCACTCAAGCGCACGTAACCAACAAACGTGTGCCAAGCCTCCAACGAAAAGAGAGGACAGTTTGCCAACCAGGACGACTACGGAACTTCATAACGAAACCAGCACGAACCAGTGGATCCATACACGAAGGAATGTGGATCCATCATGAAGACATAATCCGGGTCACGCAAGAGGTAAGCCGCCAAGGCCTCCAACACCTTCGAAGACGAAACACGGGAAGCTGGAAACCTCTGGAAAGACGGAATTGAAGAATCCGCGAGATCACGGAACTGAACCCGGGGAGGGATGGACACCAAATCCAATTGGCCCTAAGTGGCCCTAAGGCCCCTAAGCCAACCCCAGGAACCTCGCCCAGAGGGCCTGGGGCCGAGCTGTCCTCCTGAGCCCTCACCCCCCAAAGAAGAGGTGGGAGCAGCCGAAAAAGCACGAACAAGGGGGTCCACTGGCCAGACCCAGAAGCTCCGGCAGAAGGACCAAGCTCGAACGCCTTCGCCACCGCCCCAGAAGGGGACACCCCCGAGACCGCCAGAGTCTCACAACCAACTATACCCTGCCCCAGTTCCGAAACCCTCAGACGTTTAGGAGCTGGCAGCAAGGGAGGGGGGGGGGGAGGGGGCCGAATGGGCAACAGAAGGGGAAGGACTTGGAGGGGGGGGGGACGGAACCAGAGCCGAAGCGACTCTCACCCCAAGGTCTGGGTCCCTATAACCAAAATGGGGCAGTCTCAGGGCATCCGGGGCAGCAACCAACCTAGCGCGTTGCAGCAACCTAAAGTGAGCATGCAATACCTCAGCTGCCCTCACCCGCATATCAGGCACAGTAGCCTGGGTGAATTGGAGTACGTACAGACAACACACGTCACACGACTCCGGGTCAAAACAATCACCGACCCAACAGGCAGCATGGCGGAGGCAAAACCTGTGAGCGTCCCCCTGAGACAAGGGGACAGAGCAACCTTCAAACTCGCAGGACGCGAGAGGGGACTCAGGGGTCACATCCATCGGACCATGTAGCCCCCGTGGGGTTTTCCAGGGCCCTTAGCCTTGGTTACACGCTAAGGAAAGCCCAGGCAAAGTACTGTGAACTGGCACCCAAAACTTCCAAACCAACTGCTATAGCGGAACCCCCGGAACGTGTACACTCACGGGGGCCAAGCGGGGAGGATCACCAACACAAAATGAAGAAATAAAAATATAGATATACCCCAAGAACAGCGAAGGGGAACCAACAGGCAGACCCCCCCCCCACCAGGCAGAAAACAAAAACAAAAGAAAAACCCCGCAAGAGGACAACATACCCGGGCGGAACAGAGCCGGCCGCTGTTAATGGTGAAAACTAGCTGTGCAGTACCCTGCGCCCCTGCCAGTGACGAAAACTACCCCCTACCCAGAGACAAACAAGGGCAAGAAAAAACCCAGCTGACCCCAAGGGCGGCCAAGTACTGAGCAGTAAACCGCACAGCGGAGGTAGACCCCAAGGTGACCCAGGGAAAGTGGCCCTAAGCCCCAAGGGCAGTACTTACAGGACACCTAAGGAAGGTGACCCTAGGCACATGCAGTCCGAGCACCGTGGAATATCACTCCTGGCCCACGCACCACCTGAAGTGACAGCTCACACCACAAGGTACAGAACTGCAACAGAAAACTGGAGCCAGAGGCACGACTGCACCAGATCCCATCAGCCTAAGAACTAATGGTTGGGTCGCCGACAGTGGGGTCTGGGGCTCCCCCCTTCCCCCTCCTGGGGAGGGGGGGGGTGTTGCACAGACAGCGGCGACATGATGACGTCATGCTTGTTTGCTAATTTTCATTTGGGGAGTTCTGTCCACCGGTTCAGTCTTTGGTCGCAATAGTTTACCAGAATAGGGGTTTGTTTTGGGGTGCCTACCTTTCTGGGTGCTTATCCCGGTCAATGGCAGACATAGAATGCTCCCAATCATAAGGGGGGTCTCTATAGGCCAGTGCTCCTCATGCCTCTCTAGAGGGGGCCAGGTTCTGGCTCGTGGTCCCCAGTAGGCAAGAACTCCATGCATTGACTGATGCCAGAAAGTTATACATATCCATTCAGCCTGGATAGTTCCGGGGAGCCGATGGGGCTCCCCCCAGAAAAAAGATGAATTCAGAAAATACATAACCAGTGAGAGTGAGGGTGCAAGTCCTAGTAGAGAGTGCAGTAGAAAAATCAGTAAAGCAGCATTAGAAAGCCAACAGTCTTCAACCAGCAAAGCTGGAAGGGGGATATGCAACTGGTAGTCAAAACTGACCTTGCCAAGCTAATGTACTGTACAGTAATTTTAGTGCTGTGTAAAGTTAGGTTATGAAAATTTTAAAAATTATTATTTATTTGAAGATATACATTACTGTACAATACTGTATGCAGCATCAGTCAAGACGACAAACTATAACAAGGTAAGCTAAAGTTTGTGTGTTTATGGATTAAATTACAGTACTTACCTTGAGGTTACCTTAAGGTGATTTCGGGACTTAGCGACCCCGTGGCGCGGTTGTCGACCAGGCCTCCTTGGTGCTGGACTGGTCAACCAGGCCATTTGATGTGGCTGCTCGCAGCCTGACGTATGAATCACAGCCTGGTTGATCAGGTAACCTTCGGAGGTGCTTATCCAGTTCTCTCTTGAACACTGTGAGGGGGTCAGCCAGTTATGCCCCTTATATGTAGTGGAAACGTGATGAACAGCCTCGGGCTTCTGATGTTGATAGAGTTCTCTCTCAGTGTACCAGTTGCACCTCTGCTTTTCAACGGGGGTATTCTGCACATCCTGCCATGCCTTCTGGTCTCATGTGGTGTAATTTCTGTGTGCAGGTTTGGGACCAGCCCCTCTACTATTTTTCCATGTGTAAATTATTATGTATCTCTCCCGCCTGCGCTCAAGAGAATACAGATTTAGGCTCTTTAGTCAGTCCCAATAGTTTAGGTGTTTTACCAAGGGGATTCTAGCAGTAAAGGATCTCTGCATGCTCTACTGGTCAGCAATTTCTCCAGCTTTGAAAGGGGCTGTCATTGTGCAGCAATATTCCACTCTAGAGAGCACTAGCGTCTTGAAAAGTATCATCATCGGTATAGCATCTATAGTGTGAAAGGGTCTTGTTATCCAACCTGTCATTTTTCTTGCAGTTGTGACGGCTACTTTATAGTGTTCTTTAAATGTAAGGTCTTCCGACATGAGTACACCCAAATCCTTTACATTGCCTTTTCGTTCTGTTATGATTTAACTGCATTTTGTACGTGGTTTCCATTTTTATATTTTCATTTTTTTTGTAGTACATGAGCTGTAAAGTACCTACTTTCCAGTACCTACTTTACCAATACTGTACCTCCAGTACCTACTTTACCAATACTGTACCTCCAGTACCTACTTTACCAATACTGTACCTCCAGTACCTACCGTACCTCCAGTACCTACCGTACCTCCAGTACCTATCGTACCTCCAGTACCTACTGTACCTCCAGTACCTACTGTACCTCCAGTACCTACTGTACCTCCAGTACCTACTGTACCTCCAGTACCTACTGTACCTCCAGTACCTACTGTACCTCCAGTACCTACTGTACCTCCAGTACCTACTGTACCTCCAGTACCTACTGTACCTCCAGTACCTACTGTACCTCCAGTACCTACTGTACCTCCAGTACCTACTGTACCTCCAGTACCTACTGTACCTCCAGTACCTACTGTACCTCCAGTACCTACTGTACCTCCAGTACCTACTGTACCTCCAGTACCTACTGTACCTCCAGTACCTACTGTACCTCCAGTACCTACTGTACCTCCAGTACCTACTGTACCTCCAGTACCTACTGTACCTCCAGTACCTACTGTACCTCCAGTACCTACTGTACCTCCAGTACCTACTGTACCTCCAGTACCTACTGTACCTCCAGTACCTACTGTACCTCCAGTACCTACTGTACTGGTAAATTTGTAATTGTAGAGTTGTATGTGGAAATCCAAATTATGTTGGTTGTGGTACAAAAAATTGAAAATGTTCACTTTTGGACTTCTCTGGTAAAAATTCTGCTTATCGCATGTCTGGCTTATCCAGGGGGGGGGGTTTCCTTCCCATATAATTCGAATAAGTGAGTTTAGACAGTAGTCGACTTGAATATATTATCCTTCAGAATATGAAATAAGCTGCTCTAACAGCAAGGAAAGCGAGACCAAGTAGGGAGGTGCAGGTGTAGTGATTGACACAATGTCCTGATGACAATATGTGCATTTTGAGTACTAAACTGGTGCATATTTATTGCAACAATATCCGATTCTTGCAGATTTGTTTCAGATACAGTATTGCACTGACTTCAATGTCGATTGAAGCTAATTTGCTTCTATAAGCTACAAAATGTGATGAAAATACTGTGATATCCACCAGAAGATGAAACAATCTCCTATGCTAGAGGTCATCAAGGCCCGAGGTCATATACTTTCCCTTACAACCCCAAATTTTTTCAGAGTACATTCTTCCCCACTTTGGAGTTCTTTCCCGCCCGACTGATATTCCTCCCCCCCCCCCTGGCTTAAATCCCTCCCCTTAGCTTTTAAATACCTCCCTGGGGAGCTGAAGACATGAAAATAAAATAAATCAAAAGCCAAAATACTCCTGTATTTCTAATCTTAATTGCAAAACTCTCCTCAAAGTAGAGACAAACTTGTCACTAAACACTACCTGCTTTCCACTCTGTTTGCTGGATTTACTGACACTGCTGCTGCTGCTACTGTTGTTATTGCTGGATTTTTTCTTCTTTGAAGGTGGTTTGGTCACCGAGCCTTGGGAGTTGGAGGACCCGACGGTGGAGCCCTCCATGCTCAAACGTTTCCTGCAACTTAAATAAGCACCATCCACTTATAAAAGGAAATTTAATTATGCTTCAGGCTGCAAATCTGATTTTATATAATAAAACTTTCTATAAAGTAAGATAAACTGAGCAAAATACTCTAACAAAAAGGAAATCAAAAGCATTTTTTTCCCCAGTTTGACATTGCAGCCTATTCTGGCTTTATGGTTACTTTAGTACAACATAAAATGTATAAATCCCTAAGAATCCTTAACAAATTCACAGCTCTGAAGAATTTTCTACCTCAAACATGCAGAGCTCTAAAATAAGTCAACAATAGCACTACAGGAAAATAAAACACATACTTGGCAGGCTGCTGTTATTTAAGTTTTAACTTCCATTCATGCTTTTAGTTCAAACCATGTACTGTACAGTCGTGTAAATTAAAACAAAAATCACTTCATTTTTTCTTACCTATAACTAGGAACAATTTTAAGAAATGCATAAGTATCCATGTGTGTGTTTGCTTTCATTTACTTTGCATTCACGTGGTATTGGTGTATTGCACTGCATACTTTTCTTAATCTTTTCATTGTTACTGATGTGATGATTATTATACTTCCCAAGAGTGTAAATATTTTCACTAGCATTGTTTCATCACACGGGTCAACAAATTTTCAAAAATTGTCTGCTTTCGAGATGAAAAGAACGGTACAGAACAGTATTGGCATTTTGATGTGCTGAATTTAAATATAATAATTAAAATTTCTGATTAGCTATTGTTTTGTGTGTAAGTGTGGTGACAAAATCTTGCTCGATTCAACAAGTCGTGGATGCTGAACAGTTTTCTCCCAGGCTTAAATGATGGCCAGTCTCTCATGACATAATGGGACTCTCTTGCACAATTATCCCAGTCACAAGGAAAACAGCAGTACTTTGTGTATCTGTCCTGCAAACCCATCACAAGACCAACAACCTTCAAGTCACCACACAGCTGTCACTGATGTTGGTCATCGTTTATGCACCTCAAAACCTGCTTCATGTTGTCATAAGTTTCCTTCGCATTGGCACCATAACCCAATGGAATTTATGCAAAACACTCCCATTATGCACCACGTAATTTATAGATCAAATAAATTATTTTAAGTTCACGGTTCAAAAGGAACTGTAAATGTAAACTATTGTAAACTTATGAATAATAGAACAAGATCCACTACAGTATAGCCAAAAACTAGATGGAATCAATCTGTAAACAATGAGTCACAATAACGTGGCTGAAGATTTGATGACCAGACCATATATCAGAAGATGGAGAAATGACAATGTTTTGGTCTGTCCTGGACCATTATCAGGTCATGTGACCTGATAATGGTCCAGGATGGACCGAAAGTTCATCGTTTCTCCATCTTCTGATGTGTGGTTTGGTCATCATGGTATCAATCTTAAAATATTTGCACCTACACAATATATTTATTTCCTTCTCCAAGGGTGTTTACCACACCTTTTACTCTTCTTGTGCCAGAGTAATAATGGAAGGGGACTCTTCCATTCTTCCATTTACTCTCCTCATTTTCCGTTTACTCTTTCCTCTACACTTAAGATCTCAGCTCTCCGACTTCCAAATTGTCTTCATCCGGACAAATACTACACTGCCTGCCACTTTCAAAAGCAAGAATGTACAGTAATCTCACTGTTCTTTAATATTAATGGCTGCTTCATGCATACAATTTGGAATACTTCATTACATTACTCTCTTAGGCCTCATTAAAAAACTGCCCATAATTTGTGCGACTTCGTATAATGTGAATTCACACTACAAGAAGTGCAAAATAGGATTTGCTCGTAGGCAAGTTGACATGAGTTTTACCATGTGAAAGATGTACTTTTGGTGTGAGATGCCCAAACACAATGCTCTGGCCTCATGGCTCCTCACAATTATATTCTATTTTATGGTCTTTTGGATTACATTTGATCAGCAAGGCATCTCTCAAACATTCTGCAACTTTTGATGTCCTGTTTTTGTATATGGATAATGGCCAAAATATTTAGCAATAATGTTCATGAAGAGGATAAAGACAATCGTGCAGGAAAACTGGATTTTTGGAGGTCTCTGGAATACATTCCTATTTGTTCTATATAATAGCTTGAATTTACACTAAGATCTCTGGGAAAAGCATCACTTATGTAAATCAAGGATGGCTTCTTAATCCTTCCCCTTGTATAACAGTATACAGTACTTCGCTATCTTCAGCCTTCACCTTTATTATAGAGTACTATCTGAAGTCTACTCCACAGTAGCCTCAGCATGCTTGCAGCATCTCAATACAGTACAGTACTCTGATCATCCCCCCCCTCCCTATAAAACTTGCATTCTAAAGAACATATTATTATTAGGTGTTGTTCTGCTTAAAAATACATGCACCCCATCTGCTGCCATAATATTTCCTCATCTAAAAAATTATCCAGTGCTCTTATTAATTCGCCAGCTGCCTGCCAGTCATTTAAATTCAGAACTTCAATAATGTACTACAGCATTCAGTCTTACATAGGTGAAATTAAAATCACAACTTCTTCAAGGATTAACCTGCTCTGTTAGATTCTTCGGAACTGAATTATTAATGCACAAGAGGACGACAAAGATTAATAGACTGCTGACAGGCTTTTTTTTAAGCTTACCTCTTTGCTTCAATCTTCGTGTCAGTTTCTGTATCAGATTCTTCTGTTTGCTCCGAGTCAGAGGAGGAGTCTGGGCCACGTTGATACTGCAGAAGTCGGTCCAGGAGAAAAGATTTGTCCCGCCGTACACGAAGTAGTGCCCTTTGAGCTTTTCGTAGTTCCTCTTGGAAGCACTCATTTTCCTACAGTGTGTTTTGGAGAAATATACTGTATTATTTGTATTATTGGAGTAAGTACATAGAGTGGTTGGAATCAAGACACTTGCTAATTTCTCAAGGATAGAAATTTTTCAAAACAAAATAGTAAATGCTGCAAAGCCTTATTGAGGTTAAAAGCAAAACACATGAAAATGATCTGAAACAATAAACTGAACTGAAATTTGAATTAATAATAATAATAATAATAATTCATTGTGTCGGGGGACAGGAAGCCAGAGTGCAAATGAATTACATACCAACAGCCAGATCTAGCATATTTAATACTATACAGTATATGGATGCAAGGAACATCATAAAGAATACAGTTTGCAAAGTGACTTTGAAATCTTGCCCAAGCCAACATAATACAGCCTAAGCTGTATTACATTGGCTGTATACCACAATCCTAATAATACATAATCGTTTTAACAGGTAACGAGCTTTGTCGAATCCTTTGATGTACACTTTGACCATACTCCTCCTTTTGTACACCAGATACCTATACCATACCCAAGCCTCATATATTTATCATTTTTGTTTACTGTATTAGTACTTACATAAATAAGGAGTTTTAACTTTCTTTTCAAGGTCTTATATGTTGCTTTGTAATCTTCTGGACCATCTGCCTGAACTGGCATCATGAAACCTGAAATGTGAACATTCGTCAATTTATACCAACCCAACACAGCACTGCTTTTTTTTAATTTATGCTAACTATGCAAATTTCTTACCCCACCCTAAGTAATACTAAGTAATAATACTAAGTAAGTAATTACTAAGTAATAATACTAAGTAATTACTAAGTAATAATACTAAGTAATAATACTAAGTAATTACTAAGTAATAATACTAAGTAATTACTAAGTAATAATACTAAGTAATAATACTAAGTAAGTAATAATACTAAGTAAGTAATAATATTAAGTAAGTAATTACTAAGTAATACTAAGCTAATATGACAATACAACACTTGGAATGGATACAAGAACAAGGAACTGGAGTATGATGACGGAGTGAAGGAACAGTGCCCAACCACTTGAACCGTCGAGAATCGAATGCCGACCTCAAGAAGTGAGGACATCACTGTACTAATCAGTCTTAAGTGGATGATAACATAAGCAGTGAGAAAATCTACATATAATTTAAAACATTATGCTAGGTTAAAAAATTAACAGCACCATACCATGTGTGTTACTGATAATTACAGATACGATTAGGTTACATTAAATTTGGTATAAGATTTAAGGACAATTGACTCGGGATCATTAGGCTAACCAAACCACACACTAGAAAGTGAAGGGACAACGATGTTTCGGTCCGTCCTGGACCATTCTCAAGTCGATTGCCTGAATGGTCTAGGATGGACCGAAACGTCGTCGTCCCTTCACTTTCTAGTGTATGGTTTGGTCAACATATTTCAGCCACATTATTGTGACTCCTCGTCTGCATCATTAGGCTAAGTGAGGTTTCAGAAATCCAACACTAAATTCTAATCTGCAGATATATTTCAACCCCTAGCAGTGTAAAGTCTCAGCATACGACCACAGAGAAATAGTTGAAAAATAGTTTGCCCGAAATGCAGTGAGTATTAGTGGCTTTAGGCATTGTACATACTAGCTCTATCTAGAAATCCAACATTATGTTTGTAACTCATCTTGTATGTACTTTTACCTGAATAAACATTTTATCTGATTTGATGGTGTACCAATGAGTTGATGGTATCAGCCAATGTTTGTATTATCGGTGTTATAAACATTTCAGCCGATACATTGATATTTTATCTCCTTTTAATAAACAGGTGGGTATAGTTCTGACACCGAAAAATACAATATTTAGTACCGGTATCGGTACAGGAATATTGGTCCTTTTATAGCACCAGGACCCCACCAGCAGAGTTAACCTGCTTGATGGGGTCCTGGGAGTTCTTTTACTCCCCAAGCCAAGGCCAGGCTTGACTTGTGAGTTTGGTCCACCAGGCTGTTGTTTGGAGCGGCCCGCAGGCTCACATATCCACCACAGCCCGGTTGGTCCAACACTCCTTGGAGAAAATGATCTAGTTTTCTCTTGAAGATGTCCACGGTTGTTCCGGCCCTTAAATTGCACACCACAATCAGGGTTGTTTTAGGCCTATCCAAATGTATAACCCCTACACATGCATCGGGTTCACATCAGCCTCCTCAGGCCTCCAGTAACCATTACCTCTTTTGCCTTCTAGGGCCTTAGTAGGAAGATGGGAACTATGTTTATCCCGTCACCATCCAGTCTATGGATGTACAGGACGACCAGAACTCGAATATTACGTGTATTCCCGCGTTATTTGACACCCCCCATTGTTCCTCTGGCAATACATTACATATATTTAGGGGATAAATTCTGTATTCTCACCGTTTTTAGGGTGGGAGTTAATGTGTGACCAGCCAGAGCCTCCACGTCTCTGTTTGTTTACGTCCCGGACACAGCTGACAGGTCACCGCGTAATGTTGGAACAACAAAACATTGAGCATCTTCAATAATATTAAATTCTCCTACCAAATATATAGCCAATATTTATTTGATATATTTATATGGGAACCTGTATAGAATATAATGGTATATGATTATATAAAATAGTCTTTACAATTCTCATGTCAAGTTTTTAAGAGGCTTTATGATGTTGGTCAGTGCCAGCGGCAGCCGGGCAGGACGAATTACAGCATATTTAGCGCGAGGTAATTATGTATTTTTTCCCTCTTGTCAGTACATTTAGGGCAGTTGACAGCCATTAATAGCATAAACTAAATCCACAAAGAATGTTATTTTATTCGATCATTCTTGGTATAGTGACTGTTTATCCCAAAGACCAGCAACACTGAGGAAAATAATACATTACTGTATATTGTATAAGAACTTAATCAATCTGAGATCAAGTGTAACCAACACTAGCTATTCCATCTATCACCGCCCTGTCGTCAAAGGAGATCTGCATATCTATGGGGCAAATAAAAATAGAATCACCACCCGACTGTGCAATGTATTTACACTGGTTGATTGAGGGTCAAGAGGCGGGACTGATGAGCCGAAGCTCAACTCCCGCAGGCACAACTAGGTGTGCACAGCCCACTCACAACCGAAAGGTCTTGGGTTCGATCCCCGCGGCAGGATAGTGACGTGTGGGTATGTTTCCTTACTCCCGATGCCGCTGTTCACCTATAGTAGTATAAATGGGTATTCCTGGGAGTTAAACAAGTGTTATATATTATATATACATAATGTATAATATTCGCATTTGTGTTGCTCACGTGGCCCCATAAAAATGAGGTGATTTGATGAAATAGCTATGGCCAAGATTACCATCAAAGTGCCGTCTGGGTGGTGGTTCAAATAGCCTCGGCTATCTCTGCCTTTTGTACTGTCACTGATGGTCGAGTGGTTTAATTAAGGCACCGTGTACACCAGTTGCAATGTGCTCCTGGCGGTCCGGATTCGAGTCACTTTCGGGGTGTGGAGTTTTCAGTTGCATATATGCTTGGGGACCATTCAAAAGCTTGTTCGCAATATATAATATATAAGACCTCGATAAGCCGTATACAGGCTTTATATCCTGTCCCCGACGATGGGAAGCCATATATTATATACTCTTGAGTGCTTATATAGGCTTGGCTCAAATTTTATCTGGTGGTACATGCACCTGCTGACGTAGGTGCATATATGACTGATCATATAGTTATATAGGACTAACCATATAGTTATGTTAATGTGGTTATAGCAGGGGCTGTGATCCATGTTTCATTCTTTCAGGTAGGCTTGGGATCTCCAACGACTGCTTTAAATCACTTCCAAATTTCGTTTTGGTTGGGGGGGAAACATCGCTCTCAGAATCCCCATAATTTCATTAACATTAGCAAAACTTGGTTAGTTGAGATCAGATTTGAAAGATTTTCCACTCAATGCCCGTTATGAAAGTTTAGGCCAGTATCAGTAATGTACTGTGAATAATCTGAGATACAATCAGTTGAAAAATATATTTTATTGCGAAACGATATATAGGTTGGTCGGTGTAGGTTAGGATAAGGGCTCTTTAGTACGAGTTTCTTGATGTTGCGAAACTTATTAGGACGGAGTGGGGGAGGACAAAAGGAGGTTCTTAATAAATTTTCTGGTAAGGGGGGGATGAGGAAGTCAAAGGCTAAGTAGGGGGAAGGTGAGTAATGGGTAGAAAGAGACTTGGGGTGCAGCCGAGTACCCGCTTCTGTATATATGTAAATGGAAATGTCTGTCTGTTCGAGAATGGAGGGTAGAAGGGAGATGTGAGAGAAGAGTGGGGTTGTGGAGAGAGGGAAAAAGAAGACTGGTGGAATGGGGGGTTCAATGGGCGGGGTGTGAGATATACCATACCAGGTGGAATGGGGGGTTGGAAGGGTGGAGTATGAGATATACCATACCGGATAACTGCCAGCTTCCCCCACCCTTTAGTACTAGATATATGAAGGTAAAATAATTTTTATTGAATTACAAATTTTTGGTTTTCTGAATTTTGTTTTTTAACTATTTTTTTCACATTTAGAAGTTTTTAAAATAAAGTCTAATAAGTATATTTAAATGAGTTCGCATAAGAAAACCTTGTTGTTGATCTCTATTATTCAAAAGCCTAGCCAAAATAGCCAAAATTTCACTACAATATTCATTGTATATAAGTGTATCATTGTATAAGTTTACACCACCTGATATGTTGATATATATTTTGAGGTTTGTAACTGCGATTGTTTAACCATAAACAAACCATAACCCAGTTTCCTTTCTTTTCACACAGAAAATAACAAGTATAATGGCAAGACTCATCATTGCCAACAATGAGGCGCCAAGCGAGGCTGATAGGATAAGGAGTCTTCGAGCTTTCCACATACGTCAGGGGGATAACCTATTTGCCATGCCGGAGGAACAGTTCTTAAACATGTTCAGAATGTCTAAGGCAGCAGTAGTCACCGTCTTGGAGGAACTGAGCTACACTTCACTTGCAAATATTGGTTAGTATTCCTGTAGTCGTGTTGTTGGTAGGGGGACAGATTTACAGCCCCCTACACACACACACACACACATTATATATATATATATATATATATATATATATATATATATATATATATATATATATATATATATATATATATATATACAGTATATATATATATATGTCGTACCTAGTAGCCAGAACTCACTTCTCAGCCTACTATTCAAGGCCCGATTTGCCTAATAAGCCAAGTTTTCCTGAAATAATATATTTACTATAATTTTTTTCTTATGAAATGATAAAGCAACCCTTTTCTCTATGTATGAGGTCAATTTTTTTTTATTGGAGTTAAAATTAACGTAGATATATGACCGAACCTAACCAACCCTACCTAACCTAACCTAACCTATATTTATAGGTAAGGTTAGGTATATATATATATATATATATATATATATATATATATATATATATATATATATATATATATATATATATATATATATATATATATTATTATATTTTGGTAGCAGTCTTTCTTGTGAACATATGTTGTTGAATATGGCCGAAAGGGTAAGGTTAATGATTCTAACACGATTCTTCTCAATATTTCTTACGTTTTTCTTCACTGTCGAAGGTAATTGAAAAATTAACTCTTCAAAGTTCATTTTCACATTTTATTTATGGTCTGACGCCTAGTGTTTCACAAAAGACTTCTTACATTTTCAAAGACAAATTTTATACACTCCGTTTCATGCTTATATTTGTTTTTGGGTGAGGTGATATGACACAAATGTTTTTGGGTGAGGTGACAGAACACAAATTAATGGGTAAAGATAATTTTACATAGTAATAACACGAATCAATGGGTACATTACGTATTTTCTCCTCTTGCTTCTGTGTTGGTTCGAGGTCTTGAAGTGGGTAGAATGTAATTATGTGTTAATTGGCTGTTGATTGCTGGTGTTGACTTTTTGATGTGTAGTGCCTCGCTGATGTCGAGTCTCTTGCTGTCGCTGTATCTATCAATAATTTCTGTGTTGCTTGTTAAGATTTCTCTGGTGATGGTCTGGTAGTGTGTGGAGATTATATGCTCCTTGATGGAGCATATAATCTCAGCATAAACAACAGGGCTCCATCAAGGAGCATATAATCTCCTCACACAACCAGACCATCACCAGAGAAATCTTAACAAGCAACACAGAAATTATCGATAGATACAGCGACAGCAGGAGGCTCGACATCAGCGAAGCACTACACATCAAAAATTCAACACCAGCAATCAACAGCCAATTAACACGTAAGTACATTCTACCCACTTCAAGACCCCGAACCAACACAGAAGAAAGAAGAAAAAATACACAATGTACCCATTTTTTTCCACACACACACACACACACACACACACACACACACACACACACACACACACACACACACACACACACACACACACACACACACACACACACACCCCTAGAAAGCAGCCCGTGCTGTCTAACTCCCAGGTACCTATTTACTGCTGGGTAACAGGGGCATCAGGGTGGAAAAAACTCTACCCATTTTTGTTTCCGCCAGCGCCGGGAATAGAACACCGGACCACAAGACTACGTATGCAGCGTGTTGTCCACTCAGCCACCAGCGCCCCATGTGTGTGTGTGTGTGTATTCACCTAGTTGTGCTTGCTGGGGTTGAGCTTTGCTTTTTCGGCCCGTCTCTCACCTGTCAATCAATCAATTGTTACTAACTACTTTTTTCCACACACCTCCAGGAAGCAGGTGAAAGAAATCGAGGAATCGGATTTCGCCGGGAATCGAGCCCGGACCACAGGACTACGTATCCAGCGTGCTGTCCACTCAGCCATCAGCGCCATCATTGTTTGTGTGTGTGTGAGAGAGAGAGAGAGAGAGAGAGAGAGAGAGAGAGAGAGAATAATAAAAAAAAGACGTGATTCGGTTATGCTCTATTTCCTTGATAATGTGGTGAAATACGAAAACGTTCGGAATTTTCATTTCATTTCCCAAGTGGACA